GGGAAGGGTGTGAATGAATGAAAACACAGCTCCAACAGAGAGAGGGGTGGTGTGGCCCAGGCTGGGGTCGAAGGCTGGCCTTGGAGCCCTCAGAAAAGACAGTGCTCAGAACAGACCTCCCCACCCCCACCCTTGACCGAAGCCCGCCCCGGCCCCTACCTGAGCCCTGTGGGGCTGTGCTGGACAGGATCCACTTGACCAGGCAGCATCTCATCAAGGCCTGGCGGCTGAGCCTCGGCCTCTGCCACTTGACACCCTCCTTCTTGCTAAGTGGTGTGTGCCCAGGGTCCCCCAGGAGGCTGCCATCCGATGCCTTTGTCACCTCCTGCAGTAGGAACAGGCAGAGCAGCCCTGAGCCCCTGCACTGCTGGATGATCCTGAGCTGCCCTGATATCCTAGGTGAGGCCAGTCCTAACACTGCCCGGGGCTTACCTTCCAGGGCTGGATGCCCAGTGCCCCTCACCCTGGCCATTCCTGCCAGACCTGGGGAGGGGGCAGTTTCTTTCACTCTGCACCCTGGCTGTGGTGTAAGATGGGACCCCTGGAAGATGGGAGGATAGGGGTGTAGAGAGGGGATGTCAGGAGTGAGCCCAGACTTGCTCACTAGATTCCCCACCTTGGCACAGGCCAGGTTGTCAGAGCTGGATAGCCCCTTAGAAATCACTGTCCCAATTTCTCACCTGCCTGAAGCCCAGAGAGGGGAGAGGATCCGTACAGGGTCACACAACCAGCTGGGCTCCCTCACTCCCCCAGCAGGACTCCTGCTCTGCCTGAGTTTTCATGTTGAGGCAAGCTGAGAATGAATGAAAGGCTGGGTGGTCACCCCAGAAGGGTTGCCCTGATGGAACCCCCCAATGAGACAAGCAGTGATCTGAAGAAACAGCTCCAGTGATGGGTGGAGGAGACTTGGGAGAGGCGAGCCGTGGGTGGTCATTAAGAAGCAGTGGGCCAGCAGGGCGTGGTGGCTCATTCCTATAATTCCAGCACTTTGGGAGGCCGAGGTGGGCAGATTACCTGAGGTCAGGAGTTCGAGACCAGCCTGGCCAACATGGTGAAACCCTATCTCTACTAAAAATGCAAAAATTAGCTGGGCGTGGTGGCCTGTAATCCCAGCTACTCAAGAGGCTGAAGCAGGAGAATTGCTTCAGTCTGGGAGACAGAGGCTACAGTGAGCCGAGATGGTACCATTGCACTCCAGGCTGGGTAACAGAGCAAAACTCTGTCTAAAAAAAAAAAAAGAGGCTGTGGGTCATGAACCTGAGTCAATGTGGATAGGAAAAGAACAGTCTGGGATCACGGTGGAGGCCCCAGGGCAGCAAGATTTCGGGGCCCCCAATCCTGACATCCAAACTGCCCACCATGCTCAGTTCCCATGCTGGCGGCAGGTTGGCCACTGGCCCGCGAGGCAGCAGGTGTATGGAAGGCTGCAGCCAGCCACGGCATCCCTGCTGCGCCTCTACTGGGTCTAGTTTTCTGCTTTGTGCTGTGCCCTCCTGTTCTGGGTGGCAGGGGGACACATGTGACCTGGTTAATTGGATCATAGCCCACTAATGGCCCTCATGGCCATTCTGTCCGTGACACACTGCCTGAGCTCCAGCTGTGACAGAGGCAGCACCCCTGCATTCATATGGACTCTGAGCAGTTGGGTTTGTTGCCAGTGAAGAGGGCCACTCAGGGGGGTGGGTTGGCAATGCCCTTCCCAGGCCATGGGGTCTCGTGTGTGCTACCTTTGCACAGTCCTGAAAAGTATTTAGTTGTTCAAAGTAAATAACAGATGGAAGTGCCATCGAGCGGCTTCTGCAGATGCAGCCCCTCAAGGTAGCCCGTGTGCTAGTTGGGCTGTCAAGTGCAAGGGCTAGAGACTGACCCAGGCTGATTTGAACTAGAAAAATTGACAACAGGGAGCCCAGGTCAGTCACAGCCTGCAGGGAAGCACAGACAGCCAGTTCTGGAAAGCAGATGAGATTGGAGAGCAGTGCCAGACACCAGCCCTGGCCACGCCTGCCCACACAGAGCCCAGCGAGGACTCTCTGCTGCCGCTGAAAAGCCCCGCCCCTCTCCCAAGGCACGGGCCTGGGACCTTCACTGGTCTCTGCACACTGCAGGCTCCAGTTGGGGGAGGACTCCCTGGGTACTTCACTAGCTCATCCTGAGGCCCATCCACGCCCGGGATGGACAGTTGGCTAGTCAGTGTTTGGTGAAGTGGTCCCCTAGGCAGGGAGATGTCCAGTTCCCTTAACCTGGCTTTTGGGCCTTCCCTAGCTAGGTCCCAATTACCAGTCCCCCAGTTCACAGTCGTCCCCCTGCCACTGACACACCCTTGGCAACAACCCCTTCATGTCCCCCCCTTCTCCAAGGCTTACCCAGCAATGAGGGGGCTCAGTGGTGCCCAGAGTTGCAGCAGCAAGAAGAGGCACTGACCATGCTGATGGAGCAGAAAGAAGGGGGGGAGCTGGGTTGGACGGGTGCCTAGGGTGCTGAGGGAAGCTCCCTACATGCACATGCTGTGTACACTCATGTGTACACATGTTCATATGCACATGTGCACAATGCACACATATATATGCGCACACATGTCCTGTCAGGCTGCATCAGAGACACACCCTCTCCATTATTCAAGATCTTATTCTGAGCAGTATAACAGATGGACGCGCCGTCGAGAGGCTTCTGCAGATGCAGTCCCTCAAGGCAGCCCCTGTGCTAGTTGGGCTCTCAGTTGCAAGGGCTAGAGAGGGGAGTAGGAGAGAGAGGGGCAGAGGGTGCTTCATTATGTCACAAATTCTTTGCTGTGGGCTCTGCATGGGGGTGAGTGGAGGACATCTGGAGAAACTGAGGCAGCCTTGGAGCCGCTGGCAGGAGCTCTTCCCTGGGACTCCCCAGCCGTGTCTGCATCCCATCTCAGAACCACGCTGGCCTGTCTGGCAGGGCTGCTGCTTGGGGCCCAGGGTTAGTCACAGGGATTCTGTCTTGAAGCCCCAGGCCCAGGTCATGTGGGAGATCCCGTGGGTGTCCTGGGTTCTAGCTCACAGTGCTCTGTCCTCTCAAGAAGGCTGGATGAGCCCACAGGGCAGGCTGAGCACCCCCTGAGTGAATGCCTATGCTGAGCTGAAATTCGTCTTGTCATGACAACCCCATGTGGTGGGTAACACAATCCCCACTTGGCAGATGAGAAAACTAAGTCCCTGAGAAGTTTTGGGACATGCCAGGGTCACACTATACATGGTCTTTTGATTCCAAAGTTCACACGGGCTTGGCCATGGGTTTCGCTGAGACTGTTTCTTGGGCCGGGTCCCTGGGGTGGTTTCTGGAGCTGGGTGTGTTCTGAAGCCCCCTAGGCATGTCAGCTGCCTTCCAAAAGTAGCCTTCCAAAAGTTGAGGAGTGCTGTGATGCTCTCCCAGGCTAGGGGGCCCAGTGTGTCTTTTCTCCCTGTGGAGACAGTCTGGGTGGAGCGGTGGCCGGGGCTCCAGACCAGGCTCCTCTATCTGGTTAAGGGGCCAGAATCCCACCTGTGAGCCCCATGAGGCAGGCCCATTATGGTCGCCACCCTTTATGAGGCAGGCTGGAGACAGCCACTCTCCTTTGTGAGGCAGGCAGTGGGTTCTGAGGAGGGGAAGGGAGGGGAGGGGAGGGCCAGAGAGGGCGGAAGAGAGGAAGGCAGGGAGCCCCCAGCAGCTGAGCTTGGGCAGTGCCACACAACTGCCCACTGCCTGAGACTCCGAGGCTCCGTTGCTCCAAGGCCTGCGGCCTGGGCCCATCAGGCTGTGGGGGAGGCGGGAGGAGGGAGAGTGACCTGGGTCATTCTCATGACTATTTGATACTTGTCTGTCTGAGAGAGGGTCTGGCTGAACTGTCATGGAATGTTAAATAGCAGCCCAGGCACCCTCCTGCTGGCTTGGGAGGCTCACCGCAGGGAAGGGAAGGCTCCCTGAGAGGCGGCCCCATGGCCCCTCACCCCATGGTGCTTTGGTGCTGGGAGGGGAGTTGGGGCAGTGATGAAATGGGACATGAATTAGATGCTCCCACCCTTCTGGGAGCCCCAGTGCCTCCCTGCCCTGCCCTGGCAGCCCCATCATTCCCCTCAAATGCCAAGTCTGCTCTCACACCAGCACCTTGGTACCTGTTGCCCTGGCACTGGATGCTTCTGGGTGTTCAAGGCCTCACCCAGGGCTCAGGTTCTAGAAGAGCCCTTGCCTGACTCGTCAGGCTGCCCTCCCCGTGTACCTTCATCTCAGCACTTCCTCACAGCACCCAGCCCTTGGGAACTTATCCTATTTTTGTGTTGTCCAGTACATTTTCTGTCTCTCCCCTTGGGCGCATCAGCTCTGTGAGAGTGGAACCTGATCCTCATGTGACCTGCTTTTCCTCATGACACAGCCTGGAACCCAAGAGATCCACACTCTCAAAACTCAACAGTAAAAAAAGCAAACCGTCGGGTTAGAAAGTATGAAGGACATGCACAGACATTTCACCAGAGAGGATGCATAGATGGCAAAGGAGGCAGAATAGATGTCCACCGTCATTAGCCATTCTGGAAACAGAGGAAGACCACCGGGAGACAGCACTACGTGCCTGTACAAACAGTGAGGACCGAAGGCAATGACAACTGAATGCTGGAGAGGATGTGGAGAAACGAAATCACCCCTCCATTGCCAGTGGAAAGGGAAAATGCTTTAGCCACTCTGGGGAATAGTTTGGCAGCTTCCTGTGAAAACTAAGCACGTGCTGCCACAGAGCCTGGCCACTGCGCCCTTGGGCTTTTATCCCAGAGAAATGAAAATTATGTTCAAGTGAAACCTGTACACAAGTGTTCATGGCAGCTTTATCTGGAATGGCCCCAAACTGGAAGCATCCCAATGCCCTTCAATGGGTGAATGATTAAACAAACCACGGTGTGTCCATATCATGGAATTCTGAACAAGTAAAACAAACTATTGGCGCACACCACACCTACGTGAACCTCCAGAGAACTGTGCTGAATGAAAAAAGCCAACCCAAAAGGTCACATTCTGTGTGATTCTATTTATATAACATTGTAAAATGACAAAGTTCTCCATTTTAGAAATGGAGAACAGATTAGAGGGATGAGGTTAAGGATGGGGTGAGGCAGGTGTGAGGGAGGGGGTGTGGCTCTCACAGGCAGCAGGAGAGGCCTCCTGGGGACGGAGCTGTTTTGCATCCTGACGGTGCTGTTGGGTACTGGAACCTACACATGTGATGAAATTGTAGCACAAAAGGCACACTGAAATGAGTGAGTGTGAACTGGGAAATCGGAGTAGGACTGGTGGCTTGCATCATTGCAGACACTCTAATTGTGCTATCGTGTTGGAGTTTTGCAAGATGCTGTTATTGGGGAAACCGGGTAAAGGGTACAAAGGCCCTCTGTGAGTTCCTAAAACTGCATGTGAATCTACAATGAGCTCAGTAAAGATTTCCATCAAAAAATACTCTCACACATCCAAAAAGAGGATGTAAGAAATGCAAGCATGCACAAGACCATTGATAAACACTCACGAATGATCAAAAGTCCCCTGTGTTCTTCAGAATTCACCTGGGACTCTCCTCCCACTCCTGCTCAATGCTGGCCTCATTTTAATGGGTAACAGAACTGTCATTGTCCACCAGCTTCAGGGGATGGTCAGAATTAGGTGGCAGAGACCAGTGAAGCCAGAAGATCTGGGCCCTGGGGTCACACAGAGTCCCCAGTGGCACACCTGACAGTGTGGGCGTTCGGGGCTGTGTCCCAGAAACAGCCCTAGGCTGGCCCTGGGGACCTGCAACCTTCTTGAAGGTCACAAGTTTCCCTCAAGGGTAGAGGCTGCTGGTGGCCAGGCCATTCTCTGCCAGTCAGCTGGGGGCAGCAGTTTGCAGCTCCTGCCCAGCCAGGCAGGCCAGGACCAGGTCTTAACTTCCTTCTAAGTCCTCCTGGCCTGTGCGGAGCCGGGGGACGGATGGAAAAGGGAGGGCATAGGTGATGCACCTGCTGTGTGCTGTTGCTGAGTTCGGTGTTTGGAGGGATTATCTTATTTAATGCTCACACCAACTTTCTGAGGTTGCTTAGAACCTCAAAATTACCCAAAGCATCCAACAGAACCCCAAATCCTATAATGGTTTCTAGCTCACCCCTTCTCATGCAGCTTGCCAGGGTCCCTGGGGTGTGTGTTCTTCTGTTACTCCACAGGGGTAAACCCAACCAGTTCTGAGTCAGCTGTGTCCAGGGGGCTTTGGCCTGAGGTCTCTGGCACTGGGGGGCTGTGCCTGCAAGGTGCAGGAGATGACTCAGACTCAGGGCCAGTGCACCCTCCAACTCCCCACTGCCGTCCCCTTTCAAAGGGAGGGCGTGGCCTCAGCTCAGAGCCTCAACAGGCCACAGACGGTAGGTAGGAGTTTATGCTGCTGCCTTAGTTCCAGGCACTGTGGTGGTTACCTTCCATTTCTGCTCTTGGCTTCCTACTTATGATGCCGGTTTAAAGATTCCCTTTTAAATGGATTCATTAAAATTCAACACATGAGTTAATTTAAAGAAAAATAATAAGAAACAATAGCACAGGTCACAACAGATGCAGCAAAACAGTAAATGCAAGAAATGTGTTTCTCTCTGTGGCTGAGGCTGGCGGCCTGCTCCACTCAGCCAGGCAACACCCCAAGTCTGAGTGACGGCGACGTCTCACCACACAGGCTGCTGAAACTGACCTGTGGCTGGTCCACACTGAGAAGTGCCCTCCATTTAAACACACACAGGTTCCAAACATTTACTTACTAGACTATCAAATAGCTCATTAAAAATGCTTTATATCGATTACAGGTTGAAATGATAATCATTTACATTGGGTTTAATAAAACATATGGTTAAAATAATTTAACTTTTTTTCTTTCTTTTCTGTGCCTACTGGAACATTTTAAGTGGCATCTGTGGCTTCATCATGTCTCCATTGGACAGCACTGGTCCGGATGGTTCTCAGACCTGCCAGCTGGCTGGCTTGGGACAGTGTCCTCCTGGCAGGCCACAGCTGCCCTAGCTCCTCTCTGCCACCCAAGTTCAGCTGGAGCCAGAGCTGCCTCAGAAGGGTGGCCTGGTAGACTATGCAGGTCTGGTTGGGGGATGATGAGACAGGGGGCCACCTGGGGGAGGTGAGGGGTGCCCAGGCCCAGGAGAGGCGGGGAAAGCTGAGCCAGGTGGAGGTCACGGCTGTGTGCTGGGGATATTATGGAGACAGATACTTAGGACCTACTCTAGATGTGGGCAGTGAGGGAGGGGTGGTGACTCCCCAGTGCCTGAGAAAACTGTCACTGAGGGGATGTAGCTGTCCCCATACCTTCCTCTCATGGTGAATACAGCCCCGTCTCTACCTGAGAGTCTCCACACCACCCTGTGGGTCCCCGAGAGGCCAGGTGGCCCACAGGGTAGCATCCCACTCCCTGCTCCATTCCCAGCAAGGCACAGCTTCATATTGTGGGGGCCCATCTGGCTGAGAAGATGGAGTCAGATTGTCAGGGGTGTGCCAAGGTGAAACCCTTGAGCTGCTAGTTCAGTCTCCACGGTTCTCAGCAACGGTGCTCCAGAGAAACTCCCATAGAGCCGTCCAGAGTTCATGTGGCAGAGGTGACCAGGGGGCACATGGTAGCCTGTGAGAAGGTGGGTTGCATGGCCAGAGGCCAGGCAGGGTCCTGGAAAACCTTCATTAAAGCATTCAGGCTCGTTTCCCCAGAGGTGGCGCTCTAGGAGCATGTGCATAGGCAAGATGCACGGCTGACTCCTCCCAGATGCCTACAGACTTAACGGATGTAAAAGAACAGTGAGTGGCTTCATATGTGCCACCAGGACCACTGGGTTCAGGCTCAGAGGACACGGCTAGTTAGGGGCAGAGTAGGAGATCGCAGGCCGTGGGTAGGATTTCCAGTAGCTGAGGACATGGGAGGGGTCTGTGGCCATCCAGTTACATGAATCCTGCACCCTCGCTTCACAGATCGGTGACGCTGACAGAGAACCTGATAGCTCCAAGCCTCAGTTTCCTCATCTGCAAAATGGGAGTAACAATATGACCTCATAGGGTTAAGGGGAAGGCAAGGTGACAAAGCCCCAGCAGGGGAGGGCCAATGTTCCCCACCCTTCTGATCCCAGGGAGGGTCTGGCTGTCCAAGCCCACAGCCCAGCATGCCCAGCAGGGAGACCCAGTATACTGCTCTCAGCTGCTGCCCACCGGAATCACGTGGGGAGGCTCCCACCGGCTGCCTGCCCAGGGACTGGATTGTTTGATGCAGAGAGGCCTGGGCTACTCTGTTCTTATACATCTCCTTGATAGATCTGAAAATGCAGCTTGGAGAGTTTGTTTAGAGTGTCTGTCCCTCCAGATAGAAAATTCTTGGCCTTGCCTGGAAGGGGAAGGAGGTATCCTGATTCTAGCCCCTTCCTTTCTGGTAGGGCTTCCCTGAGGTCAGGGCCAGCAGGGGACAGGCAGACTGCTCAGATGAGGGGCTTCCCAACCCCCACCCTGTCCACGGCTGCTGCGGCACAGACTGACTGGCCCACCCAGCACTGCTTGCTGTCACTGGCTCTATTTCCATTGCTCGAGGCAGATGGCAGGAAGCAGTGGTGGGCGTTGTGTCGTGCAGGCCCCTGGGGAAGCTTTGGGGAGTCTGGATTCTCCACTCACCCCTGGTCACAGACAGACATGGGCCAGGCAGCTCGCCTTGTTGGGGGAGACAAAGTTGTCATGAGTCCCTGAAGATGCATGCATGCACATATGCACACACACACACACACACACACACACACACAAACACATATGTACACATGCCTACGAACACACCTATATATGCACACACACACGCACATACAGCCCTGAGCCCCATCCCTCTCATAGCACTAGAGCAGAAGAGGGGAGAACTGGGCTGTTCTGCCCTCCTCTGATGGCTGCCACCTTGACAAGGACAAGCTCCCCACGCTGCCTTGCAGTGAGGGTGTCATATTAACCCAGGGGTGGGCTTGAGTTGCCCATGGCCACATTGCCTCTTGGTGGCCCTCCCAGGCTCTCCCAGCAGCCAGAAGGAATGACATAGGTATTCCCTTCACGTGTGGAGGCCTCACTCTGTGCCAGGGACCAGGCCAAGCTGGTTGGTATAGGATTACATTTATCTGGAGAGATCTGTGATATTCAGACTTCCCCCAAGAAAACAAGGAGACAATGGCACAGAGGAGCTAAGTAACCTGTCAGAGGACACACAGCCAGTGCGTGATGGGGACAGGACTGAGCCTAGGTCTGCTGGTTCAAAGCCAGGGCTCACAGCCAACAAGGCACAGTCACGACACCTCCTGGCTATGCCCGTCTCCTGCCCAGGGTCCTTCAGTCCCACATGGTGAGGATCCGGGTTCTGTGCAATAACCATGGACATTAGTGTGCACATGTGGGGGCACTGCTGGAGGTGGCCTTGGCCTGAGTCAGCCAGGCCCGTGCCCTCCCAGTCCTGCACTGCTCATTACAGGGCCTGGCAAATGCTGTGAGCCTCTCTCAGACCCAGATGGGAAGACTGAGACCCAGGGAGGGGAGGGGCCTGCCCTTTGTCAGCGGGGCACAGGTGGGGCTAGAGTTTCGTTCTCTTGGGCACTGCCCAGAGTACCCACCTTGAGAGAGCTGGGCACAGGGGCGTGTGGCACCAGTGGCAGGGGACTGAGATCTGCCCCTGGCCTGCCCCGCCATCTGCCATGTGCTGAAGGTTGGGGAAGGCTGGGGGTGTTGGGCAGTGGGGAGGCCAGGTCAGAAAAGACTAGCAGCTGCTTTTCCTGGCTGATCCTGACTCAGGCCTGGCCAGACTGATGGAGAGGGCACACTGGGCATAGAGCTAAGGTGGCAGATGGGAGGGGGAGGCTGGGCCAACCCTAGTGTGGGACAACCCCCACCCACACTGCCCTCCTGTCTCAGCTCGGCTGCTCCCTCTCCAACTCTGCGAGTCCCCTTGCTTCTTCTCCCTGCCACAGGGCTGTTCTGTGGCCTTCCAGGATGTGGGCTGATCACAGATGACAGATGCACCTGCTCAAGGGGAACATTAGTCAGCTGGGGCCAGAGGCCCTGGGCAGAGAGCCACAGGGGGACTTGCCCCACACTGTGCCCCATGCTGTGCCCTCCCGCCATTCTCAGGCTCCTGCCCACCCTGGGCACCAGGTCAGGAAGACATGCTAACTTCTCTCCTCTCTTCTGTTTCACCTTGGAAACTGAGAGTACCTTCTTCCCCTCAGAAGCCACAATGGCTGCTCCTGGAAGTCCCTGGGATGCCTGGGGGTGCACCGGGGAGCGCAGGTGGGCTTTAAGCCCCCACTGCTGAGTCAGCAAAACACTTCTCTGTCTCTTGCAGAAGGTTTTGATAAGACAAGGCAACCTGAATTCAAAATATTGGGGTCCTTTCCTTCCTAACTCTGCATCCGCAGTCCAAAAATGGGAAGCAGCTAGCTCAAGGTCATGTGGCTAATGCAGGAGATGTGACCAGTTGGGGTCTGGCTTGTGTGCACTCACTAGAGGGCTCAGAGGACACAACAGACCACAAGCCCAGGGAGCCAGGCCCGTGGCTGGGATGCACCCCTCCTCTGCCATCTGGTTAAAGGCATGCCCTTCTCCTCCTGCGTCTTCCCACAACCCCCAAGCCCTAGGGACCTGCGCTCTGGAGTAAGACAGAGCAGGGTTCGAATGTCAGCCACAACGCTTTGTAGCCTACAGTCTGGGGCAGGCCTCTGTTTCCCTATCTGTAAAGTGGGGACAATACTAACAGCTGCCTTGTGGGCTCTCTGAGGGTCCAGGGAGATAATGCGGGAGACAATGGCCTGGATGGGGGTTGGCACCCTAAGGCTCCTGGCCCTCAGCCCTGCCCTTCTCCTGGGCTCTACCTGGAGAGCAGAGGCAGAGCCCTTTCTTCCCAGTGCAGCCTGGGGTCTTTTGAAATGTAGGAGCAAATTAGGGCCCATCTGGGACAGTGCCCTGCAAGAAGACTGGAGGCTGGGCAGAAGGGCTCCCAGTGCATAGACTGGGCTCTGAAGACACCCCTGCCGCAAGGGCCTGCGGGTCCGCCACTCCTTTCTCCTAAGAGCTCATGGGATCAAGCTCATGGAGTCCTGGAGCTTCGACAGGCTGTTCCCCTTCTCTGAGCCTCAGTGTCTACAAAGGGAATGGCAGTGCCTCCCCACCTCCCCCTAGGGGAGGGGAGTGTGGGGAGAAGGCTGAGGAGCTGGGCAGTCCTGAGGCATTACTGGGGGGCAGCCACTGACCTTGACCCTCAGGAGTCAGAATACCTCCCAGCCTGAGCTTTGATGACAGTCCCTTCTGCCACGAGAGAGGAAGATGATTTTTCACAATCTCCCGTTGATCTTGTTGAGAAACCTAGTGGTGGCTTCTCCTGGGCTGGGCCTAGCACCAGAAGGTGTGGGTTCCACTCCCCTCTCTGGCCAGGCCAGTCACAGGAAGGCCACTAGCAGATATAAGGACAATGACACCCACTGGGGCCCAGGAGCCGGTGTGGGAGGGTGGAGGGCAGTGTGGGGTCACAATGGCTAAGGGAAGAACCAGATGTACCTGCAGGACTCAGGCCACACCCTCTGCCAGTCTGGCAGGGGCAGGGGTGGCCAAGCTCCCAGAGTGAACTTTGGCAGTTAAGGGCAGCAGAGGAAAGGCAAGGGAGGGAGGATGGTCCTTTGCTGGTGGACAGAGCTGGCTGTGTGTGCATCTATGTGCAGCCTGACTCTGGAAATTCCCATCTCCATGCAGGGTGGTCATGCAGGGTGGCTCGATGCACCTCTGCCTATGGACACAGTTGCATGTGTCCATGGCTATGCAGTCCATGCTCATACCAATGCCTGGGATGCACTCGGTCTGTGCCACGTGTGGTGTGTGCTTGTGTGTGTGCAGCAAGCGCATAGTGTGTGAGCAGCGAGCACGTAGTGTGTGAGCCTGGGACAAGGTGCTAAGTTTTTCTGCTCTGCCCTGCCTGCGTGGTGGTTGCCGGGGAGACTTGAGGTGACAGGAGAGAAGGCGCATTTCTTATGTGCAATGTTGCCATACTCAAAGGGCTTCATGCCATCACCTCAGCTGATCCTCTTGGCACCCTGGAAAATGGAGCAGACAGAGCAAGGGAGGCCTGGGGTTTGGGGGCAGTGTGGTCCAAGCCAGCCACCAGCCCAGGCTGGCATGCTTTCCTCACAGGTGAAAGAAGCAGGAAGCCATCATCTCTTCAGGGCAGAGATGCTGAGGTGCCATCCCCATATCCATTCTCTCCTGCACGCAAGACCCTGATTTTACCTGGGTCCTTTTGCCCTTCTTTCTTTCTCCTTCCTGCTAATATGTCAGTATGAGCCCACGTGTGCTGGATGGAGCTCCAGCGGCCATGTTGTACCTTAAGGTAGCCTCAAGCATGCCTGACATGCTGCTGAGTAGGTGGCCTGAGCCAGCCCTCCAATGCCCCTCTGGACTTCTGCACGACAGACAAGCCCCACCAACTTTGTTCCCTCCACTGCTGTTTGGGGTGTTCTGTTATGAGCAGTCAGACCTGGTCCTGAACTATTCTGAATGTGTGAGCCACTCACACGGCATCAGGCCAGACCTTTGGAGAGTCAGCTCCAGGCTAGGGGGTCAGCTTATTTCTCCTTCCCTCCTTCTTCCTCCTTTAATTATTTACCCTTCCCCGATTCCCACCACCATTTCTTGAACTCTGTGGCAGGCATTTTCCTTGTGTTCTCTCTCTGACCTCCCCACAGCCCCACTGAGAGGGAATGTGTAAGAAGTGTTCTTGTTAGGGGCTCCTAGCCCTTTCAGGGGAAGTGGGCACTCATTCATTACTTGAGTGATTGATTAGAAGATGCATTCATTGACCAGCCTACAAGCACAAGTGGCTCCCTCCCAGGCTCACCCGTCCCCCAACCCCGAGGGCTGAGGGCTCCAGGTTCAGTGTCAGCCATGCTGGCACCTGGCCCAGGGACCTAACTGAGCAGGACAATTCGTGGGCTGACCCCAAGCTTCCTCCTCTGTCCAGCTTCTGTCCCACAAATGCTTAAAACGTCTCCCATCCAAAGGGAGCCCCAGGAGTTCAGCCTCCCAGCCAGGACACCCCAATGCTCACTTTTCCCAAAGGAAAGTGGAACAAGAGGGGATGAGGATCAAAGAGAAAAGCTTCCTGGTCCAGGACAACCCCCAGAAGCCCCCATTCCTCCACCCCCACGCCCCTCTCCAGAGCAAGACCCCAGTCCCCCAGCACCTACCTTAGCCGGCTGCATCTTGGTCGCTGAAGGAAACTGTTGCCAGCCTCCCCACTTCCCAGCTGAGGCAGACAAGACTGCCCAGGCCGACTGGCAGCTGCCTCATGTTTGCTTGGACCCAGACGTAATTGTCACCAGCGGCTTCTCCTGCCCACCCCTTCCTCCCCTGCGGCTTCTACCGCTCCACCCCTTTGCCTCCTCCCTCCCTCCCTCCCTCCCTCCCTCCCTTCCTTCCTCCTTCTCTCTCTCTCTCTCTCTCCCCTGCCCCCTCTCTCTCTCACTCTCTCACTCTCTCTCTCTCCCTCTCTCTCTCTCCATGGCCCCTAATCCTGCCCTCTCAGAGCCTGTCCAAGCCTCTGTCTGACTCTCCTGGCCTCTCCCCTACCTACCCAGTCACTGATGTCTCTCTCTCTGCCTCCCCTGCCATCTGCCTCTTTCTCTGCTCCTCGCCACCCTTCTTGGTCACCAAGGAAGATTGGGGGTGGGGGATACAGGGAGCTGGAGGTGTGGGATACAGGGAGCTGGGGCTGGGGAGAGGGGAGCTTGGGGTAGGAGTTTGTGCCCCTAAGAAGTGGGGAGGAGCAGCAGTTGAGCCCAGAAGAGCCCAGGAGGGACTTGGGAAGTGGAAAAGGAACAGATCATTTCTGGAGGCATTTTCCAGAACAAGCCAGGACTCCCCCATCGCCCCAGTTCTGCCTGCCACTCTTCACAGACACAGGGCGGTGCCACCCTTATCATGATCTCAGCCCAACAGGCCTCCAGGACAGCATGGAGCCACTGCTGCCAGCATCTGAAGCATCCTCCCTCGGGGTCCTGGCCTGAGGTGCTGGTCTGCAAGGTGCTGGTCTTGGGCTCCAAACCCAGAAACAGTGACAGCCACCAGGGCCACATCAGCAGAGTGACACTCAGGGGTCCTTTTGCCTCTTTCATCTGTGATTAACCACCTCCCATTAACTACCTCCATTCATCTGACTCTAAGCGTGGGCATCTCCCCAAAGCACGAGCTGCTCTTGCTCTCCAGCTGTGCTGGGTCCCCTCCCAGCTCCCAGGTCCTGATGCATCCAGGGCTGTTTAGGACCTGACCGGATCTCCTGGGCTGTGAGGGTGGAGAACAGGGGCGAGGGGCCCCAGGCATCCCTGGGGGTGGGAACTCTGTCCTGTCCCTTGGGCGGGCAGCTCTTGGGCATTTGCTTGCTCCCCAGGGAAACCACCCAGGAGCCAGGTGCCTGAAACCTTTGCCAAGTTTCCCTTTTTGGAGCCCAGAGGAGCCAGCCTGTGCCAGTAGTTCCCATGGAGACGGAGCCCTGGGATGCGCCCCTCCTTTGCAGCCTGCACAATTGCACTTGCACGCCCTTTTTCTTTTTCTTTTCATTTTTTTCTTTATTTTCTTTCTTTATTTATTTTTATTTTTGAGCCAACCAATTAGCTCCAACTTTCAGATCCTCAGGGGAAGAAAATAGCCTGGAGCTGTCGACCCACCAAGGCAAGGAGGACTGTTTCCAGAAGGGAAGTGGCAGCCCAGGTGTTTGGTCCTGTGTGACTTCAGGACAGGCTGGGCATCACACTGGGGGAAGGGCTCGGCAGAGCCTGGAGGACTCCCCAGCTCCCTCCCCCACCCACACTGCACCCTGGGAAGTGGGGGAGGGAGGCAAGGCCCTTCATGGCTGTCAGCTCCCTGGGAGCTTATCCGTGTTTTTTTGTTGTTGTTTTTTGTTTTTTCTAGACAGGGTCTCACTCTGTCACCCAGGCTGGAATGCAAGGGAGGCCTGGGGTTTGGGGGCAGTGTGGTCCAAGACAGCCACCAGCCCATGCTGGGATGCTTGTCCTCACAGGTGAAAGAGGCAGGAAGCCATCTCTTCAGGACAGACCCTTGACTTCCTGGGCTCAAGCAATTCCATTTTAGCTTCCTGAGCAGTTGGGACTACAAGACACAAGCCATCATACCAGGTTAATTTTTGTATTTTTTTGCAGAGATGGGGTCTCATTATGTTGCCCTGGCTAGTTTCAAAGTCCTGAGCTCAAGCGATCCACCTGTCTCAGTCTCCCAAAGTGCTGGGATTCCAGGCATGAGCCACCGTGCCCGGCCCCATCCTCTTTTCACTGCCTGGGACAGTGCTGCTTTTGACTCCAAGCAAGCCTCCACAAGCAGGGATGCATGGAGCATTTTAAGTCCTTATAGTGGCCTTGGGAGAAAAGTGTCATTCTGTCACTCTACAGATGATAATGTTGAGACCCAGAAAAGCTAAAGGACTTGCCCAAGTCACAGGCTTGGGAGTGATAAAGCCAGGTCCCAAAGCCTCTTGCATTCTTTCCAGAGTGAGCACCTTGGGGGCTGAGATCCTGTGAGCAGCTGTATGCCCACGGCTTACACAGCAGCTTGGAAACTTGTTGACCTCACTGCCATGATGGGCTGGTCTTCCTGATGGTCTGGCTGGAGGAGTCAGTAGCAGAGGAGCCCACTCGCCACAGCAGCACCCCCGAGAGTCGCTGGCCCCTGTTTGGCACACCCGCCTGCTGGCATCCCATACTCAGTGCACTCTCCTCAGAGTTCACCAGCCATGACACTGCCCTGCCTGGCTGCACCCACCAGTTGCTCGGTCTTGCGAACCTCCCACTGCAGCTACCACTTGGGTGGGTGCCCCTCATAAAATACAGATGTGGGGTATGTGTGCCCCCTGCCACTGCACCCCCCTTCCTCAGTGGCCTGTCCAGGGCCCCAGCCACTTCCAGCTGGGTCCTACCCTGGGCCTGTGGGGAATGCAGGAAGGAGCAGGGGCAGGAAAAAGGTGGGGGGGCGGCTCCCACGTGGCCTCAGCAGCCGCCCTGCTGTGAGCACACAGGCATCTGCAGACTTCCCAGAGATGGCCTTGGCATTCCCAGTGTTCTATGCAGTGCATCGGACCCACAGAAGGTTGAATAGGCTGCAGGAGGGCCTGTGAAGTGATGAGGACCATTTGTATTTTCCTCTAGGAAAGCTTCAGCCCTGTGTTTCCCACTGTGGTTTCCTGACATAGGGGCTTTGGGGAGAAACCGAGGCTGGGGGAGTTTGGAAGTGGGAAAGGAAGGGATGATTTCAAGCCGGGATGACAGTTGGGTTTCCTCTGGTCAGTGTTTCAGGAGGCAGTCGTGGTCTGTTTCAGCTGACCAGGGCCCTCACACTTGTCCTACCCAGGCAAGCGGCTCATGGGGCCCCCACTCACAGGCCTCGGGGACTTCTACACCTTCCTCCACTGTTGCTCATGATCCCACATTCCAGGCCCAAATTCAAGTCCCTCCTCTCCAGACCCCCAAACCCAGCTCTGTGGAGCCCCCTGCCCAAGACTCTCTTCCTTAGGCCCTATTTTTTGTTGGGTTCTGGCTGAGAGGTATGAGGGGAGAGAGAGAGAGAAGACTGGCCGGCTGTGTGCATCCTGGTAGGAAAATACAAATGGTCCTCATCACTTCACATCATACAACACAGGCTCAGCCCCGTCCAAGCCCATGTCATCGTCAACTCTCCTGCTCTCCACCCAGCTCAGGCTTGGCAGTGGGGGCCTGGGGCGGGCAGCAGGCATGCCAGCCTTTAGCTGAGCTGCACTCTGGGTTTGCACAGGCTGAGAGCTGTCCCTTTTTCTCTGTGGGCTCCTGCAAGGGTCCTCAGAGCCTGGCCCCATGGTCCCTTGACTAGAGTATTTCATGTGGGCCTTGGGGGACCCACAAGCCCCCCGATGCCTAGTGGCAGCTCCACATCCTCTTGGCTGTCAGTTCACTCTCTGGGCAGCCTCCTTTGACTGGACCTAGGAGACTCCCTCCGCGGTCACTCACAGGAGGCCCATCACCTGGGCTGCTAGCCCTCTCCTTAGCTCTGCCTCCAATGCAGCCAGCCTGAATGCCCTCTAGACTTTGCAGTGAATGAGGCATCAGTCCACGGGATTTCTCAAACTGGAGGGGACACTGTGACGCTCTCTGGGGCTTTCTTTAAAGCCCCTTTTCTTGCGACTTGAAGTGAAGAGAGGGTGGCGGACTCCACCCCTCAGACTCAGCTTGCTTCCCTGAAACCTCCCTCCTCTAACCTCAGCCCCTGACTCGTTGGCTCCCACTCCAGTCCTCAGAGTGGGTAGGTGCTCAGCCACCTCGTCCCTAAATTCTGCTTCACTTGCGGGCAGAGGCCAAGGCCTGGAATGGGGTCCCCCTCTGCACATCCCCTGCCTCCTTCCTCACCTGAGCTGCAATTCTCCGTCAGCATTTGTAAGATGGATGAGCGTGGACCGTCCCAGGATGCGTACACCCAGCATGTGCTAGGAAGGGCTAGGACCATGGAGAAGGAGCTTTATTCCAGCAACATGTGCTGTGTGCACAAGGTTGGCCACCAGCCTCCTGATTCAGCTCCTGGCACTCAGGCTAGAAGCGATGGACAGCCCTGACTCAGGCAGAGTAGGGAAAGGGGACTCTGTCCACATCCGCCCAGAGCAGGGCCTCAGGCTGATTCCAGAAGACTCAGATGTGGCCTGAGTGCCACTGTTCTCGGCTGCTTCATTTGGATGAGTGTTACCCTTTCCATTCTGTCCACATCCAGTCTCTGTGCCTGAACTTTCTCAACTGTCAGGCAGGTAAATAACAATGCCTGCCTCCCAGTTAATTCATGGAACGTGCTTCCTGACTTATGCTCAGAGCTCAATAACTAAATATTAACTCACACTGTTTGTCCCTTCAGGTGGTTGGGCAGGCTTTTGCCCTGTCCACGTGGTTCTCCCTTTGTACACCTTGAGCCAGCTGGAGCTGCCCTGAGCAGCCACCTGGGACCTCAGACACCCTGGCCCACCTGGCATTTCTTTGGCAGAATTTGCCATGGGGCCTTCTGCTGGGTGGCCAGTTTGGAGCATCTAGAAGAACTCCTAGCACCCCTAATCTGTCATCCCTGCCACAGGGACAACAATGACACTTGGTTCAAGTCACCTTGGAGACGGCTCTGCTTCCACGTGCCCACAGGGTTTTTTTTTTGTTTTTTTTTTTTGAGACAGGGTCTCAAAAAAAAAATGAGAACTAGCATTGCCTCCAGGAAGAAACCTCCAGGGCCACCAGAACCAAGGGACCTGCTTCCAAAGCCTGGCTGGGCTTTAACTTCTGAGACCCTGAACCAGCCATGTAACTTCCTGGAGCTTCCTCTGTTCAACCAGAAGATAATTTGCTCCCTCAGAGACTGTCATGGGACAGAAGAGATTGTGACCTCAAAGAGGCTTTGTTTCACATATAAAGTAGCATTAGCATTTTAGGATCCCAGAATTTTAAAAGCCAGATAAATAGGCAATCTATTTTTCTCTGTGACTATTTCTGTCTCTCTGTCAACTGCGGAGAGCCACCCCATCCCCAGGTGGCCAGTATTACTGTGGTGCTCTCTAAACAAAAATGCTTTGCAAAAGACAATGGTCAATTAGCTGGGCCACAGTTTCTGGACACTAAAAACAAGGAGTGGCAGCCTTTTCCCAATTGACAGGTGGAACATCAAAGTCGATTTTTTAGGACTACTTCTGATAATAGTGGACTGAGTAACCCATTCAGGACAACTTAAAAAGCTGCTCAAAATTTGTGTCTGGAGGGCACTTTGAATAGCTTCTAAAGTTTTATATACACATATATAACTTTAAATACATATATATTTACTAAATTACATATGCAATTTTTAGTAAATATATGTACTATATATATATTTATCTGAGCACAAATATATGTACTCTCTCTCTCTCTCTCTCTCTCTCTCTCTGTGTGTATATATATATATATATATATATATGTATTTAAGTCTAACTGAGAGTATTGGGAAGGAAACAAAGCAGTGAAGAATTACAAGGCCAAGATCTGGGAAAAGAAGGCAACTCAAGAGACATATGCATGACATCTGGGGCTACATTCTCTGGAGGATGTCTGATGATTCCAGAAGACACTGCAAACCCCACCAATAGGAAGGCTACCTGGCAAATGTTTTATGCTTTGGATTGGGGCCCTAGAGGGCTTCACCCTATGAATATGAATGAACTGGAAGTAGATCAGCCCTTAAAGTGACTCAAATCATCTCATTCCCTACAAGTAGATTAAAGAGACCTGGCTCACTGCATCCCCAGACACCTGCAAGACATAAACATAATCATCGTGGAGGAAGACAACTTCATCCTAGACCTGAAATTACTTGTACAGGTTTGCAGATACAATGTGTGGTACTCAACAAAAAAAACTGCGAAGTATGGGAGGAGACAGGACAAAACTAATAAAAACCAAGAGAAACAACAAACACAAGAAACAGACTCATGGAGGCTCTGTATAAGGGACTAACTGAACTTTAAAATAACTGTGCTCAATATGTTCAAATATATAAAATATTAAATAGGTAATTTTGATAGAGAACTGAAAATCTTTTAAAAATTTGTTTATATTCCATTTGTAATCCAATAAATTTCATTTTTTAAATGCAAAGGTGCTACTTCCCCCACATAAGTCAACAGATGATTAACCAGCAAAAAAAACTTCTAGGAAAAGCAAAAAAGAGGCAGTCGTGCTACATTCAAGGATGCTCATCTGACAGTAGTAACAATACATTGTGTATGAACCATTCTAATTTTTTTAAAATTTATTTTATTGCATTTTAGGTTTTGGGGTACATGTGAAGAACATGCAAGATTGTTGCATAGGTGAACCATTCTAATTTTTAGTAGAAAAACTTGTGGATGGTTTATAAGATGCAGTTAAACATAGACATTTCCAGCCTGGGCAACATGGTAAAACCCCATCTCAACAAAAAATACAAAAATTAGCCAGGCATAGTAGCATGCACCTGTAGTCCCAGTTATTCAGGATGCTGAGGCATGAGAATCACTTGAGCCCAGGAGGTGGAGGTTGTAGTGAGCCAAGATTTCACCACTGCACTCCAGCCTGAGCAACAGAGCAAGACCCTGTCTCAAAACAAACAAACAAAAACAAAAACAGACACACCCTGAAACCCAGCGGACCACCATCTTAAAAGACTTTCTGCCTTTAAATAGGGGCCTGTCTCCCTTTTACCTTATACCTGCCCAGGCGCTAGCTCTACCCCTGGCCCAGAGCAGTCATGGCAAACAACAGCAGCAACAATAATAACAATAGGCAGCTTCCATCTACTGAGCATTTGTTTTGTGCCAGGCCCTGCCAAGGGCTTTCCATGAATTATCACACTTTGAGGGGGCTGTGACTTTTCTCCCCACCTTATAAATGGAGAAGCTGAGCGAACAAGCATCACAGCCAGGCTGTGAGTCCGGGTCTGCCTGCTCCTGACAGTAGGATCCCAGGCTGGGACCTACTCCCCACCTGCAGATTGCTGGAATTACCCCTGGATACCTGTAGCCAGAGGAGACCTTAGAACGCTCCTCTCCATAAACACTCATTAAACACCAACTGTGTACAGGGACCCAGCATAGGAAACCTGGTTTTAAGGACCCAGAACCAAAGCTCAGGGAAGTAAGAACACTTTAATGGATCTGAGGTCTGTCTATCTCTTCTCTCTCCTCTTCCTCATTTCTGGAATGCAGCATCCAGCACTCAGGGCTGACACAGAGATAGGCTGGGGATGGCCCCAGGCCACATGCGCAGGATAGAAGGGGTACTGCAAAATCCTGTTCTGGCCACGAGATGCCTCCTGAGAAAGCTTGGTGGGGGCTGTGGAAGATGCAGCCTTCTGAAGAGATAAGGGTGAGCCCCCAGAGTGGCCCAGGTCCAAGATCCCTTTCTTGGGAGCCAGTGCTCAGAGAGGAGCTAAGTGCCAGCACCCCCATTTCTAACCTGAGTGCAGTCAGGGAGGCTCAGCCTTCAGACAAGCCTCCCTCGCCTCACTGGGCACTAATAAATTCGGACTGGGAGCTGCAGAGGGCCCAAGGCCTTGGGGCAGTGGAGGACTCAGGGGCCATGGGGCAGGGCCTGCAGCTAGCCCAGATCTCAGCCATGGTGACCCCTGCCTGTTGAGTGGCATTACCTGAGTAGTTTGGTTGGGCAGGATGGTCCCTAGGGCCAGCAAGGTAGCAGTGGGGATAAGGGGAAGAAGGGACAAAGGGAGAAAAGGACCTCCCTGAAGGAAGGAAGTAAAAAGCTGGGAGGGGCATAAGAGGGAAGTGGGGGCTGGGGGGAGGCCAGATCAGAATGGGGGTTGCAAAGAGCTTGAGAAGGGCAGAGGGAGGCTTGGCAGGGGGAGGACACATGGGAAGGGGAGCGAGGTTGGACCAGGCATCTGTCCCGCCCTGGGGACCAGGCTCCAGCAGGTAGAGAACAGGCTCTTCCTGTGAGGATGTTCTGCAGCAGGAGGGTGAGGGGTAGACACCTGGAAGGACTGCTAGCTCTGCAGCTCCACAGATGTCCCATGTGATTCTGAGAGTGAATGATGGGTGTTGTGAGCAGAAAGGGGTAGAAAGGAGCATGCAAGGTGGGGCCAGGTAAGCTGGAGCTGGGGACAGTCCAGGCCTGGATGCCAGCCTGGGTTCTGGGGCAAGAGCTACTGAATGAAGTCCTGTGGCCCAGGCTGAATCAAAGGGGAGGACAGGCACCCTCGGGGTCACCTCACCCTGTCATGGATTAAGAAGGAAACGGGTAAAGAGGAGGGAGGGGAGAGCAGGGTTGTCAGCCCCACTGCTGGATGGGCCACACCCAGCACCCAGACCCCACCATGTCCTCAAGCCTTCCTGCCCTCCTGGGCCCTGGAAACCCCAGACCCCAGTCCCTCCCCACCCCACTCCCTAAATCCCTGGCATGGAGCAATTAAGCGAGTTGGGGAAAACTCACCCACGGGGCCCTACAGCTTCAGAGAGGTGACCCGGGGGATGTGGAAAAGCTGAGTCTCCTCAGAGCTGGTGGAGCTGCAGCATCAAAGAAAGGGAGTGAGCATGCCCTTCCTCCCAGACTCTCAGCCCTGACGCAGGGAAAAACCCAGAGCTCTGAAGGTTTCTCCTCGGAAGCCCTTCAGGGAATGGGAAGGGTCCCACAAAGCTGTACCCGGATGGATGCAGCAAGAGGAATAAGGGGCAGACATATAGGAGAACTTCCCAGCTCTGGAGCTCCTCAGAGTGTGGCTCTTCAGGGCTTGGCCATGAGCCTCATCTGCCTGGGGGGTCTCAGGAGGGGCTGTGGCACGGGACCCTGGGGGCTGAAAAGACACTTCTCTGGCCCCTGATGCTGTCTGCAGAACTGGCAGCTCCTCACCTGAGGCGTTTCCGGATGGGACGGAAGTATTTGGAGGTCTTGACAGCAAAGATGATGCTGGGGATCAGGAAGAAGGTGCACCATGCCAGGCAAAACCAGAATGCATTCTGCAACAGGGTATGAGGTCGGCTCATTGCCCTATGTGGCACCCAGCACATATGGCACCCAGCCTCACCAAGCTGCCTTGTCATCAGAGCCAGGGCTGGGGACATGCCTGGCCTCACACCCTGCTCACCTGGCCCTCCCTAGAGAGCAGAAAGGCTTGGGGACTTGGTGGACAAGCCCTGATGAACTGGGGCACTCACCCAGGGGTCAGCCATCATGTCACATAGGATCACACGGCTGTTGTCCAGGGCTCCAGAGAGTGGCTGGCAGGTGGCGATGCGCTGAGTCACCTGTGGTGCCAACATGAGGCAGATGATGCCATACAGCCAGACCCACATGCCTGCACCCATATCCAATTCAGGCAGAGTGGTTGACAGGGACAGATAGGCCTGGGAACACCGCTGGGGCCACCACACGCTTTTATACACATGCAGAGACGCAGGGACAGACAGATAAGGACACACCTTACTGGCTCCTTACTGGGCCCCTCCCCTTTCCGTCTGTCCACCAGCCTGGATTAAGGCTACTGTGACCCAGCACCATGCTTCAAGCCACCCTCACTGGGGAGGTAACCTGTGTATGTACACATGCGCACACACACACACTCACACACAGATACACAGACACACTCAGGGTAAAGCCAGACCCCTGCCACTCTTGTGTGGATGTCCAGACAGCTTGCAGAGGCTATTTTCAGTGAGGGTCTGCAGTGGGAGATGAGCTTTGAGGACTGGCCTCGGACAAGCTGGGGAAGGGGCCAGCCCAGGGAAGGACCTGCAGGCTGGGTGTGATGAAACATTTTGGAGATTACCAACCCCGCCCACACTCAACTCAGGGAAGGGCTGCCGCAGAGGTGGGTGGGCAGAGCTCAGCCAGCAAGCAGGGGCACAGATGCCAGGTTTGGGAGTTTCAGTTTGATACTGAAGGCCTGGGTCATCCCCAGGGGGCTCTGGGGGCGGGGGCAGGGCAAGGCAGGGTGAACAGCTGGTCCGCTGGGGCAGGGAATCAGTCACTGCTGAGGCCCCACTCACCTCCTCTCTCACCCAGGCTACATACTGGGAGAAGTAGTCCATCTCCCGGGCCAGGAAACATTCACTCACCTGCAGGAAGGAGAGGAGGTCTGGGCTGTAGGGGTCCTGGAAGCAGCTGTGCCCCCTACCCTCAACACCCTCCATGCCTAGCAACTTGAGGATAGGCCCAGCTTTCCTGGGAGCCACAGTGAGAAGCCAGTACTGGAGAAGCCTGGGGTGGAAACCCCTTCCCCCATCCCACCCGCCACTCACATTCCTCAGGATCCTGGCGGCCCAGGCAGGCAGCTCTCCTTTCAGGTAAGTGACATTGGCTAGGACATCTGAGGTCTCCAGCTGGAGGGGATAAGAGCCTCAACTCAGTGCCCCACATTCACACATCCATTCATTAATTCAACACACACCACAGCACACTCAACAGGATAGGGTTCAGCCCTGACAAACTTGCCAAGGGCGGTGATCCCCCAGGCTCTGCCGCCACCCCCATCTTCCTCTCGATCCCACCCCACAACCTGGGCGGAGTTCCAGAGTGAGATGGGCACCTGATTCCTCCCTTCCTCTGCAGCCACTGCCCGCCCCCCCCACAACCTCACACCACACGTCCCCACCCGCAGCAGCCACCTGGAGATTCGGAGCAGAGGACTCCAGGGCTCTGACGCTGAGGTTGAGCTTTGCCTGTGGAGAAGAGATCAGGGCTGGTTAGAGGAAAGAAGGAAAGGGAAGGGAAGGAGGGAAGGAGGGAGGAAGAGAGGAGGAGGGAGGGAGGGAGGAAGAGAGGAATTCTCAGAGCTTCCCTCCACTTTCACTGTCCCCTCTCCAGCTTTCCTCTCCCCCAGGACCCATGCTCCCTGGGCCTCCAAACTGACCACAAGGCTCTGCTGGGGGACAACCTTCTCCTGGTGGAGGTTTCTGAGTCCATGGGCCTCCTGCTGCAGCCGCTGCCCCAGCAAAGAATTGCCCTGAGAGGAGACAGAAATCAGAATGGCCCTGCCCAGCACCCTCCTACCCCTCACCCAGACTTTCAATCTGACATACCAAGGGGAGGTAGGGAGTGCTGGGCTCAGAGGCAGAAAACCAAGGCCTCCTTAAGCTCCAGGGCCTGATGTGCATTTGGGGCCTAGGTCCAACTTCTAGGTCCAATCTAGCTTGCTGGATGCCCCTAAGTCAGCTACAGAACCTGCCGGCTCTTCAGGGGCACCTGCTGAAATTGAGGATGCTCCTGGCTCTACCCACCCTAGGGAGTTGTTGCAACGCCTATCAGATGTTTCAAAGAGAACTTTTAAACCCTAAATAATTATAAACACAAAATGTTATTATTCTCCTCAAGGGCAACTTGAGAGGCTGAGGCAGGAGAATTGTTGAACCCAGGAGACAAGAGGTTGTGGTGAGCTGAGATCGTGCCATTGCACCACTCCAGCCTGGAGACAGAGCAAGACTCCGTCTCAAAAAAAAAAAGAAACACTTGCCCAACTGTGTGAGGCCAGACAAGTGATTTCATCTGCTCTGAGATGAAGGACAGTTCACCTCACAGATGAAGAACCTCTGGCTCAGAGACACTGTATGGCCTGCCCAAGGCCACGCGGCCAATGGGTGGCAGAGCTTGAATAAGAACTGATGCTGCAAAACCCTCCAGCCCAGCCAGGGGTCAGGAGCATCAGGCCCCACCCCACAAAGGCAGGTGAGGTCCTCAGTTCCCTGCCTTTGCCCTCACATCCTCCCACCCTCTCCCACCTTCCAAGCCCCCTGTGGCTCCTACAGCACCTGATTCCCTCTCACCTGGGCCTGGGCCAGTCCTTCCAGCTCCTGGGCCAGCTGCTCAGTGCTGGTCTTCACCACGGGCCTCTGGATCTGCAGGCAGACAGGAGAGGCCAGGAAGGATGAACCCAGCTCCTGTGGGGCCCACCTCCACCTGCCCCTAGCCTCCAACTCCCCAGTCTTATCAAATATAATCTACACCAGCTGAGTGTATTGTGACACATCAGTCACAGCGGGTTTTCCCTGGAACTGTGAACTATTTCAGACATTTTCCCAATGAGATAGAAAGAGGAACAAATGAGGCACCCTCTGGTGTAACTCAAGGAAGAGGCAACTTCCCACTGAGTCCTCTGCAGCAGTGGGATCAGGACCATGAACAGCGACATGGTCCACTGGACTAGAGGAGAGGGTGTCCATTCACGAGTGACCTGGGTGGTGACATGAGGACAGGCCCAGGGGCACATGATCTGGGGACACCTCCACAGGAAGAGGCCTAAGGAAACATGTGGAGGAGCCCAGAGCTGGGACAAGGTGAGATGCACACCCATCTCCTCTGTGGGCCCCTTTGTTCCATCACCACCTGGCTGAGGAAGCCCAGCTGAGGTACCCACCGCTGACCTGAACAAGGAAGTCAGGGTAGTGGATGTGCTGGAGCCCACTGCTCTGCAGGGCCTCCAGGTCCCGGCGGGCGGCTGAGCTCAGCAGGTCCAGGCTCTGTGTGTCTATTTTCAGGCTCTGCAACTCCTGCTGTAGCTTGTTGGTATACTGGGAGGGCGGGTACAGGGGGAAGTCATGCCGGTTGCTGAGCCAGGACCCCAGAGATGCTCCCGTAAGTGAGGGGGTCACCAGGCGATATGGTTTGGATGTTTGTCTCCTCCAACTTTCATGTTGCAATACGACCCCTGGTGCTGGGGGTGAAGGTGGGCCTGGTGGGAGGTACTAGATAATGGGGTGAATCCCTCACATACGGCTTAGTGCCATTGCCCTGGTGATGAGTTAGCTCTTGCTCAGTTAGTTCACATGAGACCTGGCTGTTTGAAAGAGCGTGGCACCTCCCACCTGGCTGTCTCACTTCCTCTCTCCCCATGTGATGCACTGGCTCCCCTTCGCTTTCTGCCATGAGTGGAAGCTTCCTGAGGCCTCCTCAGAAACAGGTGCCAGTGCCATGCTTCCTGTACAGCCTGCACTTAAACCTCTTTTCTTTATAAATCATGCAGCCTCAGGTATTGCTTTTTTTTGGTGGGCGGAGGGGACAGGGTCTCACTCTGTTGCTCAGGCTGGAGGACAATAGCACAATCACAGCTCACTGCAGCCTAGACCTCCTGGACTTCAGTGATCCTCCCACCTCAGCCTCTCTAGTAGCTGGGACTACAAGTGCAAAACACCACACCTGGCTTTAAAAATAAAACCTGTAGAGAGGGGGTATCCTCATGTTGCTCAGGCTGGTCTTGAATTCCTAGATTCAAGAAATCCTTCCACCTCAGCGTCCCAAAGTACTAGGATTACAGGCGTGGACCACCATGCCCAGTCTCAGGTATTCCTTATAGCAACACGAGAACAGACTCACACAGCAGACTCTCAGGGCCCCCTGCCCTGGACACCCCAAGCCCCAGACAGGCTCCCAGTAGATGCCTGCCCCAAACTGCCAAGATCCAGGCTTCCTCCAGTGCCCATCTGGCTTCTGGGCCGAGACACAGATCTTCCCTGGCCACCTGAAATAAAATAGCTTTCCCAGCCCCTCTTTATTCTGTCAGCTGTGTCAAGGCCTTCAAAGTGCCTGTTGCTCTGAAATGATGTTATTTGTAGGTAATTGTTCATTGCTGTCAGCTCTACGAGAGTGGGGCCTTGCCTGCACATTCTACCCCAATCCCCCAGCATCTAACTCTGAGGCTCACACATGGTGGGCAGGGTACAAGTTTGTTAGCTGCATGAATGAATGAATGAATGGACACAACTGCATTTTCAGGAAAGAGCCTCAGCATTTTCCTAGTATCACTGGAAGAGATTTAGAGGTTGTAAAATTCAGCCCCAGTGTTTAACAGGCAAGAAACTGAGGTCAGAGTGGGGCATCCACTTGGGAGGTGACACAGCAGGTTAGAGACCGCAGCCCAGCTTGGCTCTCCTCTCCCCATTCCTCCTGGCTGCCTTCTCCTGGAGGAGAAAAGGCCTGGCCCTCTCAGGCGGGGGTCTTCGGGCTGCGTCTCTGGCATCAGTGGCAGCAACTGTAGGAGAAGTGGGAAGTGGGTGGTGTCCCCCCATTCTCTGGAAAGCCCTGTGTCATACTCATGTCTGCATGCCCATTAGTATCTCCTTTGAGGATGAGGATTCTTATGGCCACATTTGGTACATTGTCAGGTGGCCTCAGAGGACTGTCCAGTGCATCAGAATCCAAAGCCCTATCTGTCCAGACCTTTCTGTGAGCTGGACTCTCCCCTGCCCAGGACCAGAGCAGAAACTCCTCCCCTTGAGAGCCAAGACTTCCTGCCAGCAGGGGGATTGGGCTCCTATGCCCAGGGCCCTGGTTCAGCCATCCCTGGCCAGTCTTCCTCCTCAGGATAGTGTCTCAGCCTAGCACTGAGGCATTATTGCCTGCTCCGGTCACCTCCTGTCTGGTTAAAGATGCGGAAGGAGGAGTGAGCTCCATAACTGTCCCAAGTTGTGCAGTTCAAGGCACAGAGTTGGGACTGGGCCATCTGGCTGTGCTGTCTGTGGGCTGAGGTTGGTTGGTGGATCCGGGGGTTGGAAGGATTTCCCAGGATGATGCAAAATCAGCAGTTACCATGCTCTGTGTTTGGGGAGGGAGGGGGGACCTGGGGGGCCAGGGGATGTGGGTTTCCCTAGGATATGCTTGGGAGCCTAGAAGTCGAAGAGGGAATGTCTTACAGCTTCTGTGCAGCATGAAGAGGACCCGTTCTCAAATTCCATTCCTCTTGTGAAACAACCCTTCCTTGCCTTAATTCTAGAACTGTCTTGCCAGCATTGGCAAGTGTCTCCAGTTCCACACACCAAGTTCCAGCAAAGCCCAGGGGTTACGGGAAGAGGCTCGTGTATCAGGCTGAAGGTGGAATCCTGCCGCCACCACCTCCCACCTGCACGAGCTTGGCAGGCCCTCCACCAGCGTTAGCCAGACTTGTCGCCATCCTTGTTGCTGCCACGTCCCTCCCCAGCCTCCCCTTCCCAACTGGAGCATCCCAGCCAATGCTCGTTCTCAGTCAGGACACCACCCTCATACTCCTACTCATTGTCACCAGTCTTTCCTGCCGCCACTTTGGCTGTGCTCGGGGCTGGCCATAGCCTTCAGGGCACACGGATACACCCACACACCCAGAACCTTCCCCTGGGCTGGTAGCTGGGCCTCTGCCCTTAATCACTCACACAATTTCTCAGGTCTCCTAGGTTCAAAGAGATGGTGCCTCCACAGAGGCAAAAAGACCAGAGGAGAGGGGTCTGAGGAGGGCTCCTCACAGTTCCCGGAACGTTCTCTCACCTGGCTGATATCCAGGTGCTCCTCCAGGTTGTAGGAGTCGTTGAGCTGCAGGACTGTCCAGAGCGCCGCCCCTTCCTTGCACTGCCTGAGGAGGAGAGAGGAGGAGCCTTGTGGGTGGCAGGGGTGCTGAGGTCCCTGAGGGATGCCGGCCCTCCTCCTTCCTTCCCTGGTGCCTAGCCCTGCCCAGGCCGTCCACTCACCGATAGGCTTGGTGGATGCTGATGTTCTTCCTCAGGCCGAGAAGGTGTGACAGGTTCATGGACGGGGGCAGGTTCCCTGGGGTGTCTGCAAACTGGGGATGGGCAGTGAGAAATGGGCACAGAGAGGGGTAGGGGTGAGGTCACCCTGGTTCCCTAGGGCCTGGACCCATGCCTCGGTGGCACAGCAGAGACCACGGGTAGGACACATCCCCTCACCCCTGCTCACACCTGGCCTCTGACTCTGATGACTCCCTGGCTCTACATCCTCACAGGGGCTCTTCCCATGGATTCCTAGGAGGGATGACCAGCCCAGTCTACCACAGAGAACCCAGTCCAGCAACTCAGCTCACCGGACACCAGGGTCCCAGCTCCCAGACAGTGTTAGGAGAGGAGAGGGCATGGGTCAGGGCGCCATCTCTCAGGATCCCTAACCTGGGACCTGGGCAGCATCCCATGGACTCATGGGTGCTTTCTCTCTCCCTCCCTCATCTGCTGGTAGATTTCTGTCTCTTTTCTTAGCCATATCTGTCTCACTCCTCCCCTCCCTGTCTCCCTCTAACCCCCTCTGATCCCCACTTTCTCCCAACCCTCTTGCTCTGCCCACACCACCCCCACCTCCCTCCCCAGGAGGGCCTGTAAGCAGAGACAGGCCTACCTCAAAGAGCTCACCGCTCTCCCAGCTCCGGCACACCAGAGTCTGCATGTTGCCACCCACCAGGAAGGTGGCAAACACCAGGAGGATGAGGGGGGCAGCGAAGAGGAAGCTGAGGCCCACGCCTCTGGGGAAGGTGAGAGGCAGGACTGAGGGACAGCAGGGACTGGCTACCCTGACCATACTCTCTGTCCCACCAGCACCCCAGGGCCATCCTGCTCAGTCAGCTGGCCCCAGGACAGAGCCTTTACGGGAGAGGAACTTGGAGGACTTGGCCTCCTGGGGAAGAGGGAGAACCCAGAACTCCTGACAGTCCCAACCTCACCTTTACCCTGTGCCCACCCTCTCCCTGGTTCCCTGGCTCGCCCTGGCAGCCTAGAGGAGGGAACAGCTGTTTTGTTCAAAGAGCCAGGACTTGCTGGGCTCACACTTATAATCCCAGCACTTTGGGAAGGTGAGGTGGGAAGACAGCTTGAGTCCAGGAGTATGAGACCAGCCTGGGCAATATAGTGAGACGCTGTCTCTACAAAAATTTAAAAATTAGCTGGGCATCGTGGTACATGCCTATAGTCCCAGCTACTCCAGAGGCTGAGGCATGAGAATTGCTGGAGCCCAGGAAGCTGAGCTGTAGTGAACCATGATGGTGTCGCTGCATTCCATCCTGGGTGACAGAGCAAGACCCTGTCTTAGCAATAACAAACAAAACAAAAACAAACCCCAAAGAGCCAAGACTGCTCACTTCTGTGCCTAGGGCCCAACACTCAAAAAGGTCACCTGGCATGGCCAGGCATGACCCGCCAACAGGGCAGCATCCCAGCAGATCTGAGGAGTAAAGATCTTAGACCAGACGGCTCAAAGAGCTTGTGAGGTAGGCACAACCCCATGCCAGGCTGAGGCTTGGAGAGAAAAACATGGGTTGGATTTCAGCCCCCATTTACCCCTTTAGCCAGGCACTCTTGCTTAGTGAACAGCCTGTACAACTGTATGTGGCAGCCTTGGCCTTAGAGACTGTCTAGTCTGTGGCTGGCAATAGATTCCACCTCTGGTGCTGCCACTTACTGGCGGTAAGGGTAAGGAAGCCAGGGTAAGGACTCTAGGCTTTGTCTGACTCAAGGGAAGGAGTGCCCATTAGGTGCTACAGCTGCCCTTGCTGTAGGAAGGAAGTGCTCTTTGTTGGCCATTCCTGCTCTGGTCCAGCCCCTTTATTGAGATGAGGATACTGGCAGATGTGCTCAGGAGCCACAGTAAGTGGCCAGCCCTGTCCTCAAGGTTGGAGGGTGGCTTTCCCTCTCCCAGCCCTCTCTTACGCCATGAGGCAGCGGGCTCCAGCTTCACCCTTGGCTTCTGAGTGGCTGGCGTCCTCCCTGGCAGACAGGCCCCAGATGCCCAAGTTGAGCCCTAGCAGGTTGCAGAGTACCACGAGCAGGACCACGGAGCACAGCACACAGCCCAAGATCCACCTACCACGGAGAGGACATGGGTGTTACTAAGAAGGGAGGTGGCTGGCACCAAGATGGGGCAAAGTGGGACCTGGCAGCTGGGTGTGGCCTCTAACCCCAAGCTGGGGCTTCAGACGTGCACATGCAGACACTTCCCAAGGCCCTATTGCTCTTGTGTGGCCTCCAGGCTCAGGCTCCGAGGGCACACAGCCTGGTAAGGACTTGGAGGCCTGTGGAGTCAGGGGTCTTGGCTTAAAAATACACAGAAGCTCAGTACAGTCAGGGGCTGATTGGCTCTGGGAATGGGGCTCAGGATGGCATAGAGGCTGGGCTGCCCACTTCACCCCACTCCATCCCACCCTGCGGGTGCCAAGCACCTGTAGGTCTCGTATCTCTGCACCTCCTGCAGGTAGGGGTGGCTGCTCTCTTCCACCTCCTGCAGAGCCTGGGCCCAGTGGGAAGCTGCTTCCGAGCCTGGGAACCCTTCAGCCAGCATCCTCAGCCCTTCTGGCTGCTGGGCCACTGCCTTCTTCAGCTCTGCCCAAAGTAGCAGGGACTTGTGGGATGCGGAGGGCACCCTGGGGCCCAGGGACAAGACAAGTGGGCAGGAAGAACGTCTGGGAACCACAGAGGGAGGACAGTCCCCCACCACCCCACTCCACTCTCAACAAGCCTCCCTGGTAGGGATGGGGTGGGAAGCCATGCTGGGTAGCTGCCTCTAACTCATGCAGCCTCACCTTGTACCACGCTGGCCGTCTGCATGGCAGCCAGGGCTGGAAGGGCATTGAAGGTGCTATTCTCCTGCAGGAACCAAGTGGGGTTGGGCCTCCCCATCTCTGCTAAGCATCCCCTCTTAGAAGACCCCAAAGTCACCAGGTCTAGAGGGAGAGGAAGGAAGAGGAGGGGAGGGGAGGGGAGGGGAGGGGAGGTCCCCCCCTCAGTGCTCCCAGCTTCCCCCTGTTCTCTTGGTCACTGCCCTCCTCTCCCCTCCCTCCACCCAGCCTGACTCAACTTCCCAAAATGTTGCTCCTCCCAAAACATCTTCTTCCTATCCCCACCCCTCTCCCACCATTGCAGTGAACTCTTAGCCGCCCTGTATACAATTGCCAGGTCTAGCTCTTAAAGGTCCAGCTCAACTCACCCTTCCAGCCTCAGCTCTGACTTCCTTCCTTCTGGAACCTTCCACTCCAGCCACCCAGCACGGCTGACTCACCATTTCCCCAGCTTCAGGTCCCAGTCCTGGGCGCTGACTCACACCGTCCCCTCCCCTTTGGCCCATCTCCACCCGGGGAGCTGCCTGCCCTCTGGGCTCAGCCTGAGCCCTGCTCCCTTGCCATCCCCACTGCCTTGAAGGTCCCAGCTCTCCCTTCTGAGCACAGATCATGTGCACACCAAGGATGGTCATCAGGAGTCCCCTGCCCAGGGTGCTGTGTGGTGGGTGGGGCCCCAAGTCTCAGGTACAACTGAGTTCCTATCCAAAAGGTGGAAATGGAGGCCCTCACTTGGCAGGTGAGGGAGGAATCAGGCAGACCAGGTCCAGGCTCTCACCTCCTGGACCATGCTAGAGAAGTTGGCCTCGGGGACACCCTTTAGCCGGTGCAGGACATGGTCCACAGAGGGTACCTGAAATGGGGGAAGGGAGGGTATGACAAGGTTCATGGAGAGGCCTGAGGGGGATCCCTGGGGGCAGATGGGGGGCAGGTGCCTCTGAACCCCAATGTTCTCAAGTGTAAAATGGGGACTGCCATGGCTCCTACTGCCCCTGGCAGCAGCAAGAACTCAAGGAGCTCACACATGTGAAGCTCATGCACAGGGCATCATGGCCTGGAGAGCGCTCCACCCACTGCCAGGATGACCTGCATTAACCCTGGGTGGGTGGAGCAAGGGAGAAACAGCGGGGGAAGGGATTGGGAATTTGCCTCAGGGATCCCAGGAGTGGCAGGCAGCCAGCCCGCTGTGGCTTTAAAAGGACTCTGTCCTGGGTCTGTACCTGGCTGAAGTCAGCAGCCAGCTCCAGGGTGCGGGCCCGGCTCAGGGCCCCTGCACAGTCTCCCTGGCACCCAGCCTCCTGCAGCAGCTCGACGAGGCGGTCCCGGTGTTCCCGGACGGCTGGCTCCAGGTCCTGCTGCCCGGCCTGCAGCTCCACCACTGTGGCATTCAAGGCTTGCAGGTGGTGCATGGAGACCTGCAGGGCTGAGAGACCCACATCCAGCCTGAGCAGCATCCACCATAGGCATCCCCAGATGCCTTGCAGGAGGCAGAACTCCCTCCCCCAGCCAAAGGGACCTGCAAATCATTGACCTCCTGCCTACAATGGAAGCTGTCCCGGTGCACATTAAGTCAGGGGAAGGGAGCTAGATCTGGGGTACAGCAATAGGGAAGTCAAAGGTGGGGCAGAGGCAGCTCAGGAAATCCAGGGCTGGGTGCAGGTGGGATTGCCCTAGGAGGCACCCACTGGGCCCCACACCATCCAGGTGTGGCTCCAGCTCACCCTGGCCCAAGCTGCCCACGGCTGCCAGCAAGGGGTACATGGTGCTCTTGAGCTGAGTGTGGATCGTGCTCCCAATGCTCACGCCGACACCTGCAGAGCACAGGGCAATCTCAGGGTGGGTCCCCAAGAGTGAAGGGGCCCTCCCTATCCCCATCCTGCCTCTGCAGGCCCCACCGGGCTCTGCAGGAGCCGGTGGGAGGCGGGTGGCACAGCTTTTCCCTCCAGCAGCTGAGTGGCAGCCACTGTTGCTCTCCAGCTGGCCTGATCCCCACTTTTGACAGCCTGTTCCCAGATAGGGTCTGGAATGTAGGCCCCCACCGAGGCGCCCAAGCGGGGGCCCTAAAGCCGGCTTTCCTGCCAGCCCCCAAGACCCTCACCATCCAGCTCCTCCGAGACTCGCTCCTGGGGCAGGGAGAACTGCTGTGCCACGGCCTGCAGCTCCTAGGCAAACACAGGGCCCTGAGGCTGCCCTTCCTGGTCACCCGAAGCCCTGACCCCCACCTCTCCCCAGCCCCCTCCCTGACCCCATAGCATCCATCTGGAGGGTGGCTGACTCTCCGGCAGGGGTAGGCAGGGGCAGGAGAAGGGGTGGCTTTCAGATGTGCTGGCTATGGGCCAGTGAGGGCCCACTGGGCTCCATCCTGCCTGGACCCGGTGCTCACAGGGGCACGTGGGGGTGTGGGTGACAGTGCTCACTTGGGGGACATCGGAGACCAGGCCCCGGAGGCTGAGCAGGGTCTCAGGCACAGCCTCGATGCTGGGGCCCGTCTGTTCGTGCGTGCGCTGGTTGGTGACGAAGGCACAGACCACGCCAATCCTGTGGGAATGGAGGGTGGAGGAAGGGGCTTGCCGGGTCCAAGGGAGCGTGGGGCCATGGCCCACCCTGCCCGGAGCCCTGAGCAGTGCCTTACAGCAGCATGAGGGTGGTCAGCAGCAGGAAGGCCATGAGCGCTGTGCGTTCACAGGCCAGTGCCTTGTGTTCTGTCTTCACTCGGCCCCCGCAGCGCCGGTGGCAGCGACAACAGCAGAAGCAGAGCCCGGTGGTGGGCACCAGCAGCAGGTAGAGGCCCGCGATCACGGCGCACACCATGTAGCCTGCCTCATACTGCACCACCTGGGCAGGTGGCAGGGCATGAGGGGTGGCCCAACCCCACTGCCCAGCCCTGGCTCCTGCTTGAGCCCAGAGGGAAACCAGAAGGTGCCATCAGGAGCACGGCCTGCATTTCATGGAACCCATCCCAGAGGAACTGCTCATCACCATCTCACACAGGAGGAAGCTGAAGTTCAGGAGGTTCCAGCTCCCTGCAAACCTCACTGCCAGTAAACCGAAGTACACCGAAGATCTGTGGTTTGCATTCAGGTCTGCAGACTGTAACACCCATGGAGAAGGGGGAGAGGATGCCCCAGCCCCCGCCTGGTGGACACCAGCAAGATGGGCTGAGCGGAGCCAAGGCTTTTCTGCTCCTGCCCTGCTGCTCGCCCCGAAACTCCCTCCCCCAGCACCTTTCCCCCAATTGCTCACCTCATTCACCTTCACAGAGGCCAACTCATTCAGCAGGGCCTTTACCAACTCTACCGGAAAGAGCCAAGCTGAGGATGTGGGGGCAGCCACCGCCCTGCGCCTGTGTCTATCCTCTCCCCACTGCCAGGGCAAAGTGGCTCTGGGACAGGGCTCCTCCCACCACCATGGCACCCTTGAAGAAAGCTGCATCACGCAGCCCTGCACCGTCCTGCCCTGACCTCAGCACTGCTACGGGAAGGCGAGTGGGGGAGAGGCCTGCACATCTCTCCTCCTGGACCCTACAGGCCTGTCCTAAGCCTGCGCAAAGGCAGAGAATGGGCCTGGCCTGGCAGTTCTTCCCCTCCAGCAGCAAGGGACAGGACTGGGAGGGTCCCTCAGCTGCTCCTGGATCCCCCAACCCAAGCACCGCTAGATTCAGAGGATGTCTGAGCCAGGTCTAAAGTATTTCTAATGTAACCTCCTCACTTTATAGACAGAGCACCTGAGGCTCAGAGAGGAAATGAGGCCTGCCCACAGTCACACAGCAGGTTCTGGAGCCCTCCCCAGATGCTGCCCTTTCTACCCCTGGAGGACGAGAAGTGCCTGCTGGTAGACTGGGCACATCCCATGGTAGAGGGGGACAGAGAAAGCCTGGCTAGGGACTCAAATGCTGAAGCCCTAGCGGGGGAGGGGCACACTCACCTGAAGGGAAAGGATTGAGCTGCACCACGGAGAGGAAGCGGCGCACGGTCCCATAGAGGGAGTCCAGGGGCCCTGGTGCACGAACTCGAGGAGCCAGCCACCGGGCCCTGGCTGCTGGGCTGAATGCCAGGTGCTCTGCCGGGCCGATGGACTTGCAGTCTGGGGCCCCCGCCGCCAGCTGACTCAGGGCCAGGCCCAGGCCCAGGCCCAGGCCCAGCAGGGGAGCCAGCAGAGCCTGTGCGTGCCTCATGGGGTCGGGAAGGTAAGGCGCTCAGGCTCAGGAGGGAACAGGCAAGCCCAGGGCAGATCGTGCATCCTTCTCCAGCCTCTGTCCCTCTCTCCACAGCTCTCAAAACCTGCCCGACAGGTTTGGGTTCCTGAGCTAGCTGGCCTCCCACCTCCCTGCCTGCCTGGCTTGGAGCAGGGGTGGAGGTTCAGAGTAAGGGGCAGGGCCAGGCTGGGACCGCCCTTGGTGGCTTGGGGTAGAAGCCTGGGCTCCCCACCACCCAGATTTTTGCAGGCGAAGGCTGCCTCCAAGCTGGGTCCAGAAGCCACCTCACCAGCTCGGGATCACTTAGGGTGGCCCCATTTCAAATATTCTGTTCCATGCCCAGACCCAGCAGCCCAGTCTGGGAGCTGTGAAAACAGCTGCCTAGTGAAGCCCTTGCCAAAATGATCATAAGACTAGACACACAGGGCCAGGACACAGGCTTGCTCTCCCTGCTTCACCTGGAAGACACTCTGTCCCCACAATTCATGCCCATTGTCCACTGCCAGGCCAACCTGGGACAGAGGCCCACCTGACAGGCACAGGCCTTTGGGAGGGCAAATCCCAGAGGTGTGCCCTTTGGCCTGGCTATATCCCATCCAGTCAGCAGCTGAAAGAACTGATAGGATATGCCCAGAAATGTGTCTGCACAAGTCTCTGTTTTGTAAACAGCTGTATGCCCAATACCCAGAAAGTCACCTATAACTGAGCAGGTCATGGGGAAATTCATGGAAGGGGTGGAGGATATCAGAAACAATCCCGAAAGCCACCACTGAGGAACTGGCAAAATGAGTCTCTTGCATCACACACTGGGCAGTCACTAAAGAACATGCTGTGGAAATGTCTCTTGTGACTGAAAAATACTCACATGCACTCATAAGTGCAAGTAGCAGATTACAGACCAGTACACGCAGTGAAGGTGTGAAACGGCGATCATTTCTGGGTGGAGTCACTGGCGATTTTTCATTCTCTTTTGCTCACATGTACTTCCTCATTTCTGTGCATTAAACGTGTGTTACTTGTATTTAAAGAAGTAATCGAGGCCAGCGCAGTGGCTGATGCCTGTAATCCCAGCAGTTTGGGAGGCCGAGGGGGGTGGATTACAAGATCAAGAGCTTGAGACCATCCTGGCCAACATGGTGAAACGCCATCTCTACTAAAAATACAAAACTTAGCTGGGCATGGTGGTACACACCTGTAGTCCCAGCTACTCGGGAGGCTGAGGCAGGAGAATCACTTGAACCCAGGAGGCGGAGGTTGCAGTGAGCTGAGACAGCACCACTGCACTCCAGCCTGGCAACAGAGCAAGATTCTGTCTCAAAAAATAAAAAAGGAAGTAATAGAAGTTTGTGAGATTCCATGGCAGCTCCCTGCCCGTGCCCGGGAGCCTTGCAGAGAAGGGCTGGCTCTGTGGCTCCTAGGACCCCCAAGCTCAGTCCGGGACAGTAGTTGAGGACGGTCTGTGGGATGGGTGAGGTTCAGGGATGTCTGGCTGTCCCTGGTGGGGTTATCAGGGAATTAGGGCCCTAGGTGTGAGTCAGGGCTGGGCCTACAGTAGAGCTCCTGCTCTCCCCATTGCTGCCTCTGTGGCTTTCTCAGAGCCAGGGGACAAGAAAACACAGTGGCAGAAGGCATAGTCCAGTTAATAGTGGGGTGCCTCATAAAGGGGTGATTCAGAGATGAGGATCAGGGACAGAGTGAAGAATAGTCTGGGAGTTCCCTGGCACCCCAGGTCTGGTGGGAGCAGGCTGTGGACCCCAGGGAGGGTCTAGGGCCAGTTCCTCCTGTAGGGGTCTGACCCCAGTGTGTGCAGAGAGGCCCCTGGCCACACTGCCTATGACAGTGCTGTGAAGCTCAGTGAAGGCTGAGCCCACCTAGGCCCACCCACAGCTCTTCCTCCCAACTCACCTGAGCCCAGCATCTGTGTTGGGGGCTCCTGGTTCCCCTGAGACTGCATTGAGGAAGGGCTGTTCTCTCCAGCCTCACTGCTTCTCCCTTCTCCTCCCTTCAATTTAGGCTGTCAGGAAGAATGCCTTCTAAATCCCCAGCAGCAGCAGGATGGACTCAGCCCTCACCTGAGTACCTGCTGCTTAGGCGATTTTGTATCTTCTGACTTGGGTGCTCTAGTGGTGGGGAAATTCAGGTCCCAGCTCCCTGGTTAGGACTAGAGGCCCTTGGGGACTTGGGAAATAAGCAGCTTTGGCCTCACGAGCTCCACTCCCACTCTCTCTCTCTTCTCAATTATTGTCATAATTAAGCCAATCATTGGTTACTGCTATTGTTTTTATACGTGTGTATGGTAAAAACACCATCGTTTGAACGTCAGATTTCCCCTAGGAAAAACAAAAACATACCAAGCCTCTTCCTTGGCCCAGGGCAGGAGGGTTGTTGAAGATACTGAATCTGCCTGTTCAACAGATAGAGAAATAGATGCATGGAAGAAAGGACTATTCTGAGTCAGCGGCCAAGCCAGGAGAGGACTCGACAGCTCCCCTTCCCCACTGGGATACCAATAAACAGTTTATCATCAGACCGGCCAGTCAGCCCCTACCTCCTCCCACCTGCAGCCCTACCTGGCAGAGCAGGTGGGGCTCAAAATCCAGCCTGGAGCTGGGCAGAGGAGGCGAGGAAGTCTCTGCTCTAACTGAATTCCATGGAAAGGCCCAGCAAGCAGGCGGGTGGGGGCTGCTCACAAGCATGGGTGCCCCTGGGGCAGCCACTAAGGGCCTGGGGCAGGCAGGCTGCCCAGCTGGAGGGCTTCTGGAAGTGGCAGTGGGGGGCCAAAGGGGGATTGTGGCCTGGTGCCTCCTTTTCCTCACATCTTTTTGGGTACACCTGTACTCTTTGTGCTCCTGCTGACCCCTGGCACCCTCTGACCTCCATGGGGAATTCTTTGGTTGACCAGGAGCAGCTGCTCCTAGTTGCCCTGGAAACACCTCGTGGGGCCATGTGCTCACCCCGACTCATGCATCTCCAGAAAATCCATGTTTCCCAAGCCCCACAGCCCCAAGGTAGGGAAGGGGGGGAAAGGTGCAGACCTGAGCAAGGGGAGGAATTCTGCCCTCCAGAAAGCCCCTGGGGCCGTCTGGCTGCCTCACGCAGCCACGCTGGGAACAGACGGGTGAGATGCTCAGACACTCTCAAGGAAACCGCAGGTGAGAAGACAGGCTCCTCTTCTTTCTTGCCTCTGCTATCCATGCCATACACTGGGAATGAGCTTTAAACCAACTCAAGGGGCCAAAGACCCATTTATCAGACCATCAAGGCTTTGGCAGAACCACTGTCTTTGTCAACATTTTTGATGGCAGGAATGAAAAACCCACTTAGGGCAGTGGAAAGATTTGAAACATGAGGATCTATTATAGAGATACAGGGGCATTTTTGGAGCCCAAGGGGCCTCAGGAGGACTCAGATCCTGGAACAGGAAATCCACCAAGGGCCCCTGTGTCTGTCTCAGACCCTCTCTCTGGGATGGGGCCTCTCCCCGCTGCACATCGGCCTCCTCTGCAGAACGGACTCACTGCATGTAACATGGCAGAGAGGGCTGCCCTGCTGATCTGAGTCTTCCTGTTCTCCCAGCTGGTCTACTATGAGTCCCACCAGCACCACAGGCCACACTCTCCATCCTAGTGGGAGGAAACTGATGGTCCTAACTGGAGGCAGGGTATCCCAGTCTACTGGGGCCCTCAACAGACTTACATGGGGCAAGCATAGCGGCTGGGCCCAAGCTTGCAGTGCGTGGCGGCTGCCCCTGCCTGACTTCTTGTCCCTCGTTCCTGCATGTAGCCATCCATCCAGTCTTTCAGCACCCCTCCTGAGAATGGCTTCAGAAAGGACCATCGTAATTGCAGATGGACCCTGGGACTCCCCTGCTTCAAACCTCCTAACAGCTCCTGCACTGGACTCCTTAGTTTTTCGCTGGGGCCCTCCACCACTGAAGCCCTTCTCAGTTCCCTGGGCCAGTTCCTGCAGTCCTCGGCTAGCCACACCACACTCCCCTCCATCCTGGCCCTGGGCACAATTCTCCCTCTTTGTCTCCAGCCTCCATGTTCACCCAAATTCTGCTCATCCTTTAAGACTTGGTTCTGTGGTCACCTTCTCTAGGACCCCCAGTCTGAGTGAGGGGTCCCTTCAAGGCATCCCTTAATATGAAACCTGCTCCCATATTACATTCATTTGTCTGCCTTCTCTACATAGACAGGATTGAGTTTTACTCACCATCACACCCTCTTCAGCCCTGAACACAGAACCCAGCATATTCTCAGTGTATTCTCCAATCTCTAAACTTTGGAAAAGCACATTTGAATATATTTAATGATAATATTCGTTCCCCATAAGGGCCATCAAAATAAACAAACCAAAAACCTGGCTGTGCGCAGCGGCTCATGCCTGTAATCCCAGCACTTTGGGAGGCCAAGCTGGGCAGATCACTTGAGGCCAGGAGTTCAAGACCAGCCTAGCCAACATAGTGAAACCCCATCTCTACTAAAAATATAAAAATTAGCTGGGTTGGTGCCTGGTGCCTGTAATCCTAGCACTTGGGAGGCCAAGGCGGGCGGATTGCTTGAGCCCAGGAGTTCAAGACCAGCCTGGCCAACATGCTGAAATCT